ATATATATATATATATATATACACTAGTGTACGAAATTTTAATATTTGTAGTGTATTTTGTAGTTTACTTATTCAAAATTAATAGATAGTAAATTATATTTAATTGATTTAACACATAATGATCAAACGTATCGGCAGAAAATTTCCTCGACGCAATTCAAATGATATAATGAAAACTGACACACACAATTAGAAAGGAAATCATATGATTAACGGATTAATTCCGTGCGAGGAGCAATCAAAATAACAAATAATAAAACACTCACCCTATTAGTTGCTCTCTCTCTACCGTCTCGTCGTCCCTCATTAGCTGTACCTCCTCCTTTTCTCAGGTTCCTTATTGCACTCACAACACTCGCGTAAAAATGCAAAAACGGAAATAAGATCGCGCGATACTTTGCACGGCACTCCCGAAATACGCGAATATTAATAACATAAACTTTAATAAGAAATACGATCACGATATATCACATGTTGAAACGTTCGAATATGCAGGTTTCGTGTGATATTCCACGTTTTTGATCCTGTAATGAGCGAAATACACATTTTGAAATTACTACGCTTTCAAACTATCTTAAAATTCGTATTAAATGAAATAATCCAGACATTATGCATGTACAAAAATGAGACATAAAACTCAAAAATGTCTAAAAAAAAAAAAACCCTTCTGTTCTCAATGTATAATTTTTCACCTTTTTACTGTTTCGCAAGGTTGATTCCGCTAAAAATTTAAAAGTGAAAACAAGGTAGTTCGTAAAACATTGTTTTTTGTTGTTCGAAGGGTGAGGTTTTTGAGACGTCATAACGAAATTTGTAGAAAAATATAAAAGTATTTTCTGTTTAAAACTCGATATAGGTAACTGGGTACACATTAATAGAAGAGTTAAGACATCTTATATCTCGATTTTGTATTTTTTGTCGTCTGGGAAGTATCCGCGATTAAACAACGCTTTATAATACTCTTTCTTTATCGTTTCGATTTATACTTCAATGGATAGATCGATGAACAGATTACGTCTGCTTGGATATGTCATCTCGGTACATTAACGAGTCATTAATTCTAATAGATAATTAATTGCGCGAACACAGGTAATAACTAATCATTCACAGAAAGTCACCGCGTTTTCTCTTGATACTTGTCATGATGGAATCTCGAGGGATAAAATGATACGTGAGATGCGCACTGCTCGGTTCGAGTTTCGTTGTGTAAATGATAACGAAATAGTTTTGCGTAAACACAAGCACAACCCAAGGCCTCGCGTCAATCGATTCTACAAAATATGCATTAGATGCTTTCCATTTGGTGACACAAATCGACACAAGTGTGTCGTTCTATCTCTGTTAGTCACCGGAATGTCGAGAAAGACAGAATAATATGTATTCATGTATTGACTTGTGTCACTAAATGAAAAGCACCTATCATATCATAAAGTAAACGTATGCCAAATTCTGTTTCGTGTCTCATAATTCGATTTTAATAAAACGCAGGCTGTTCAATAATCGTAGCTTTCCTTAAATCAATCACAAAATACTGTAGCACAAAGCAGCGTATTATCTCACTCGCGTTATCTCGATGAAAGAAGCGATAGACGAATCGCATTTAAATCTACAAATAATTCTAACAATGAATACAATGAGAAATACGATTCTAATATACAACAATCAAATCTAATAAACAATCATCAAAGAGATATGTCGCAAATATCGCTAAACGGTCTTTAATTCCCTCCTTTAATTCCATCCGCTAATTCTCGTTTCAAGGGAATAAATCCCGCGAAATGTCTAGAAGCCTCATAAATCCGGGACATTAACAAAACGGTATAATTACGAGAATTAATTAATCGCACAGACAGATTTCGAATCAATTGTGAAGAATGAGTGTTTCGGGAAGTAATACGACGAACACAAGCCGTTACTACCTGCCTGCTCGAGCTTCCGAATGCGAATCGTAACACGGTGACCTTGTGTACGCAGCACAGCGTGCCGTAGTACACAATACAAATATGGAAACCGTTCGCCAACCGACTTGTTGTCGTCGCTGATATATTTTGATAGCTGACACAAAAGAATTTAATTTTATCAAATACTCTGTTTCTCTTGCGCGCCAAATTAATTTCGACGAACGCGATTTTAACTCCGATCAAATTTAACACTGATTTAAAGAATACATTTCTTTTCAATTTCATAACGTATTACAACGTGAACGTCGTTTCACTCGTTTTCAGTTGCAAGAATTGCAACGAGTGTTGATAACGCTAAATATCTATTTAACGATTTGATTTTTTTTACATTGTATAGAATTATAGATACAGTGCTCAGTTTGCTGAATAACGTTTTCATAATTATAA